GCATAGGCCATCACAAATTATTTTATATGTTCATGTAGACTATCAATCTGTGCTGCATCTGAATCATGACATAAAGGGATAAAGTAGGAAAAGTACAAGTTTACCAAACATGAAAAATGTATTAACACAGATTGCAGGAAAGTGGAGCTAGAGAGGGTGTAATGGCCCAAACTCTCTGCTACAGTTTTTGTTTTTCTAAAAATGTTGCCTTAACCTCTTGCTGACCAGGTGTTTAGACCCCCTTCCTGGCCAGGTAATTTTTCAGTGTTCAGTGCTGCAGTACTTTGACTGACATTTATTCCGTCATGCAACGCTGTACTGAAATAAATTTTATACCATTTTTTGGGGGACAAATAGAGCTTTCTTATGGTGGTATTTAATCACCACTGGGGGTTTTATTTTTTACTATATTCAGGAGAAATTACTGACAATTTTGAAACTTTTTTACATTATGTTATAAAACAACTAATATTACCCACTTTTTTGGTAAAATATAAAAGACAGGGTCAGGTCGGGTAAATAGACACCAAACATGTCGAGCTTAAAAATTGTGCGCACTCGCGAAATCGCAAAAAACTAGCATACCCAAAATTGGCCATAGGCAACGCTTTAAAAGCTTTTGCAGCTCATCAGTTTAATATTATCAGTGATTGATGGCCCTAGAATTATTGCTCTCATTCCGACGTTCGCTGCGTTATGTAACATGTGCGGCGTAATGGGCGCAATCGTCGTTTTCACAGGTATGCACACCTGACACATGTTTACATGCGTGTATGTAGGGGTGGGGACTTTAACAAATGTTTTTGTTTTTTTAAATTCTTTAATTTTTTAATTTATGTGTAACTTAAAAAAAAATTGGGGGGGAAACTTAAAATTTTTTTCCCCACTTAACTTTATTGCTATCACAAAGGGGGCTGAGAAACCCCTCTATGTTATAGCAAAAGAGGTGACAGGTCCTCTTTATGGAGACATCAGGGGTCTCCAAGACCCCTAATGTCACCTAAGACCCCCCTGAAGAAGCTGATGAAGCAGAGATCTGCTTCATCAGCTTCTCTCCAGCATCTGAAGCTGGAGAGTGACACAAGAATGCGTGTGTAATATACACCACTTCCGCATTCTGACAGCGGAGAGGGGACCGGAGGGAGATCATGAACCGACCTCCCTCTGATCCCCTGTGAAAGAGGCAGTATGCTGGTCCCGGGCTCACACCGGAGACCAGCATCGGAGACCTCATACAAGCGATCCGCCGGCTCTGTAGCCGGCGGATCGCTTGTATATTAACGGGCATGGCTGCCTGTTTTCAAATAACGGGCATTTCCCGCTCGCGCACGCCCAGTTACATCCATGAAGCTCCCGGCCGGCCGTGTATACACAACGGCCGGCCGGGAGGTAGTTAAAGGAGAACTATGGGGTTAAGGCTTTTTCCCATAGTTCTCCTTAGGGTAACAGGAGGACACAAACTAGCGTCCTCCCATCACCCTAGGCTCAGTATACCGTGAGCTACAGCTCACGGTATACTGAGACGCCACAGCTGAAGCGGATCCCGACAATTATGTCTGGATCCGCCCAGCTGCGTGAGTGACAGCTGGTTCTGCCTATCTAGAGGCAGAGCCAGCTGTACCCGCCGCCTCCCCCGTCCGTTCCGCCAGTCAGCACTGGAGGATTGGGGAGGGGGGGGGAATCCCAGCAGGGAGCCGTCAGTGACATTCACGGCTCTCTGCAGGGACAAGATCGAGAAGTAAGTGAGCGACGGTATGTGTTCGCTCACTTCCCGATCTATTGAGCCGACTTGTGACCGTTTCATTGTCACAGGTTGGCTCGAACTATGAGGCTGTGATTTTCAAAACAAACTTCAGTGAATGAATACAGAGGTACTTACTGACACAGACTTGCATTAGTTCCAACTTAATTCATACGTTTTAACAAAATATAATGCACAATAAAATAAATGGTACGTATAACTGGGGTCATCCACGCAAAATGTAAAATATCTCCAAAAAGTTAATTAACAGGATTGTGATCTTCCACCAGACAGTGCCAGAAAATATGAACATGTTGGTGAGATCTCTTTAAATAGAAGGTCAAAATGCACTTTGGGATTTCAGACAGAAATTTCTAATGTAACACAATGTTGGTAAACATGATCACAGCCTATTCATAACATTCAGACCATTTTGTTGAGCCTGCAGTGTCCCATGGAGCTCCTTCTACTTATTACAGCAGAGAGAACTCTGTGATTGGAGGAGAGGACTGGTAGATGACTTTGAAAGGTGGCCAGACGTTTCTCCGAAAGGCATTCATTTTTACTGTGCTCGGCTGACTTCAGGACTTTAATCACATTTGTAAAGTACAGTGCTTTGTGTGGTATGGGTATACCCCTTGGACATGTCCCACAAACAGTGGTCAACCTCTGGAAAGCACTGTATTGCAACCTGTCCGGCTCCCTGTGATTGGGGGGGGGGGGGAAGCTTTTGAAGTC